TCAAATATAGTACAATTGAGATAAGATAATTTTACAAGAAGTAATATGCGAAATTAACTCTAGTTTTCATCAATGCACGACCAACTGACTAATCCTGATTTGTGGTGACTTGAATAGGTCTTGGTAAATCAATTAAGTGATCGGGATTACCTTTTTATTCCTCAGAAATGTCAGTGAAAAATACACAGCTTCAAACACTTAAATCTAAATAATCTTACTTTTCGATCACCAATAATGATTTTACCAACATAATTACTAAAGAGATCGTTACCCACAATCTATAGGTCTGAAATAATTCGGGAATTTTATATATTTTCAATTTAATTTGCTGGGAGCTAATGAATTCCTTTGGGTGATCGATTCCTCTCATCATCATTGTTTCATGTAAAGCGATGGTGATATTAGACTCACCTGTATAAGATGTCAGATGTATTGAGAAACCAACTTCAATAATTTTCGATTATTCAAAGCACCACGATCGATTAGTGTTTCCTTTTACTGTTTCTGGACGTAACATCCATCAACAATCATATCTAAACTAATATTACCTGGGGGATTTTATCGATTTTATCGTTCACGCCAGGTCCGATCTAAACATTCAGATCTGACGATTCACGAGGGTGTAATTAGCTTTTTTCTCTCAGCTTGACGCTTTGGATGGAAATTTCCCGTAAGATGACTTTATCTCCTGCAGAAATCATAATATATATCATAACACGTATCTGATACACGTTCCCTGTTCTTGCAGGTAGCACACAATTCGTCATTACTATCATTACGAATTTGGGGTTGGTGGTAATGAATTACGATCGTCTTTTAAATTAGGATATTCTACTTTTAATAACATTCCCAACACAAACGCTTTGGTGGTTGATTAGACAGTTGTCCCCCGTGTCTAACAATATACGATCTTTCAACCAGCGCTTAGATTGTGAACCGTTCAAAGTTGACTAAGTTGCCAGTCACGGATTGAATCGAATGAAATACTCGTTTATTTTCTGTCACCAGTCATAAAATTAGAGGATAGTCGGATAGAAAACAATGTCAGATTGTATTTGATCCAAACATTTCAATTAGAAAATGATTCGGAGTCAGAAATGTTAATAATTGACGAGACAGTAATTTATTCTTCCATTTCTTGAATAAATGAACGTGTCCACCGTTATGATGTACATCGTGCGACATAATGACGTATGATCTGTGTTATTAAAGATTCGATGTCTATTATTGAAACGCTGACTTGTCATTGGTTGATCAGTACCACGTGTAGCTCTATTCTCAGACGATCAGACATGGCAGTACCCGATGTGAATGCACTATCATAAGAACAAGACTGTAACTGTGTGTACGCAACTAATCAGTATTCAACGATTCCATTGCATGTATAATGTAAACAATCAATCAATGTACCTCCCCAATCTACGAATGCAAGTTTGTATATTTTTTAACAATCGTATTGTATTTTAAGTAATTTCATAAATCATTGCTATGACGTCATAGCTTTACGTGACAATGTGGATGTCTATTTATCAATTTATTTTAAGAAAAAGCCACAGAACAACGCATGTGTAATAGATTTAAGCCATAAAAACTTTAGCGATCACGTGACTTTTTCTGTGGCAAAACAAACTTGAAAACCTTATTCTTCAGAACCACCAATCAAAATGCTCTCAGTACGGTATTCAGCTTCTATATAATGGAGCACGTCTAAGTTTGAAAAATCAGTCACATGGTTTGGCAGCCATCTTGGATTATTGCCAAAAATTACCAACTGTCATAAAGTTGATTGACAGGTCATAGTTGTTTTAAACTCTGAAAGGACAATTGGAATCTACCAGGTGTGCTTGTGATTTCCATGACAAAGGGTGGATCTACTGAGTTGCCTACGTGAGTCAGCTGCTAGCAAGACCAAATTCTGATTGGCTCATGTGGAAACCCAGGTGGTGTACCCGAATCTGGGCCATTTATGCCCTATAAATAAGCTAGACTGAGGACAGCTGGGGACCATCATTTCACCTGAGTACTATATATTGTGAGACAAGTGATACAGGCATCATTCATCATTCTTTGTGTCGTTGTGTTGACTGTCATCAATTTCCACATCCTGGAACTGTGAGTTTGGACGTTTGTTTCTCTTAAATGCTTCTACCAATCAACTTGATATTTTGTATATCACATGAACGGTCATAGCTTGTTACAAGATAAAGAGATGGTCATATATGATCATGTAACCTCATTAATATGCATAAGCACATGGCTCATTATAGATTCTGAAAACCATATATCGATAACAGAATTAGGTAAATACATGGAACCAACTGAATGGTACAGATCATTTAAACTAACCTAATTAAAATCAGTTGACCTCATTAATTATTAAATAGATTTCTAATAGCTTGGGGCCCCACTGATGCCGCTTGTAGTTTTAATTTTTAATTCCGATTTTGATTTATAGCAACAATAACACATCTTCTACAGCGTCATATTGTCTAGACACACACATTAACTTGAAATCGACCCTTCTTCTCATCTAATTGTGCGTTGTAGGGGATTCATTATTATTTAAATAACTCATCTCAGACGGAAATCATCGCCTAGATAATGGGCTCAATTACGTCCGGTAAATTATTAAGCCCGTTTTGTCACGCAATAATTGACAGTTCGTAATTTTTTATTTGCCCAACAAATTAAATATGTACAATTCATGCTGACTGCTTCTCGGTGACAAGATAATTGCTGTTAATTTTCAATAGGATAGGTAGTGGGTAATTTGCATTTGATGACACCATTTAGCACAGGATTAGCTTTTATTGATTAAATACATAATACACCAATTGATTTATTCCCCTTTCCAATATACGATAACAAAGTAAAATTCAATGACCCTAACATACAAATCTCCACAAGTGAAACAAAGTTTAGCCTTGCGAATAAACCATGTCTTTATAATGAATAAAACAGCGGATTGCGGGATGTAATTTAAGTTTCTCAAATTGTATGCAATTATTGCATATTGATTGTTTTATACATTAGCATACAGTGAAGCACATGTCATTATAACGACAGAGACGTCATCCGTGAAATATGAATGATCCTAATTGGTTCACTGAGTGTACATGGCAAAGACTTCATTATACTCATATATGTGTTGATAAAAACTATTAATTATAAAATTATTGATTGAATATTGGTTGCGGGTGATCGCGTTTAATGTCAAAAAAACGTGGTATATGTATATAATTCATAGTGACTATTGTTGTATTGTCCAGGAAATACAGGATAATTTACACATAATGTATTGTTTTTCAAAAAATAGCTGTTGTTGACAACATTTCTGGCTATTTTCGTTCGTTCAACGTGAAGTATAGTTTGTACATTGTATTGTTGTAAAGGCCTCGATGTCATAATTTCATAATGTAATATTCTTCACAGGGTTGCCTCTGTGACCGTTATAATGGTGTTCTCATCATTCGAGCGTCTCCAAAAAATCAGAATATTTCCATAGGCTCTTCTAAACCGCTTGTTCATCCACGCATATAAGAATGGGTTCAGAGACGAGTTGCTCCACGCGACAGTGGTAACGGCGAAGTGGAGGCTATACGGTAACGTGCTATACTGGTCTGCGATGTAAACGATGGAGAAAGGAAGCCACGATATACAAAATATGCCAAATACTATACAAAGCTGTTTCAATAACCTCAATTCTTCGTCACGCCTTTTTCTGGCTTTAAATCGTCTCCGCTCATCGCCTGCATTATCGATGTCCATAGATGCCTCAATCCTCGTGTGACTTTCTTTAACACGGCGGAACGTGAGGAAATAACTGATCGAAGCTAACATAATAGACATAAAGACGGTTCCAATGAGGACGACCATGTATAACCATGTGTCATTATCACCGTGTACTAGGTGGCAACCCTGTAGGGCGATGTTGTAACCAGCTTTGCCGACACCCATCATAGGCAGACTTCCAATGACCAATGATGCGATCCATAAATATGCGATCAAGATCGAGTTTTTCCGACTGTTGAAGAACATGGAGTATGTCGTAACTGATTTCGAGATGTAAACATACCTGTTTATGGCGATGATTGTAAGCGTCATTATCGAAACACCGAGAGTAGACACCGTCAAAGCTGCCAAGAGTTTGCATCCGATATCGCTAAAATGCCACTTCCCGGCAAGTATCGTCAAGATATAGAACGGTTCGAGTAGCAAGCATACAATCAAGTCGGCAACGCTCAGGTTCACCACAAAGGCGTTTGTCGTTGTACGCAGCTGCTTAGTCGATATGACAGCTACAATAACTAGAAGGTTTCCTATGATCCCAATAACACTGATAATAGCAATGAATGTGACTTTGATAACGTTTTATATTACACTGTGATCCGATCCTGATACACTTGTGTTTCGGTATGGATACTCATCCAAAAGATCCATGGCAGTGCTGAACTCTTGTGTAAGACAATTTTTCAAACTAACGCAAAATATTTAGATAGTTAAACAACCAGCACGTTGTTTAGAATTAGCGCCGTTATAACAGGAAAGAGTCGATCTAACAACGAAAGTGAATCCTAAAATGGTAACAGTAAAATACTAGTATACAATTAATGCGACATCCTTAGCGACCAATCAGATGGCATCTTATGATATCCTACGAATTCTTGACTGTGACAAATTGAATACATGTATTATTTGTTGTCAAACCTAATCACGAATGTACCTAATATGGCCACATATTCTGTTCGCTCCATGTAAGTTAGTTTACACCGAATGACACACAATATAATTTGTTTACGTTCAAGGCTACCCGATAGCAATTGTTCACTATATGCTATCAAATTATTGTAGCTCGTAACAACACTTCCATTAAATTTCCATTATTAATTGGTTCATGCGATTATTTGCAGGAATTATAACTGATTTCAACAGCATGGGGGATGTTACATTTTGACCATTAAATGTTTATTTGGCCCGCAGCCTTACGTGTTAACACGTAATTATCTGCTAATCAAATACTGTTTATATTCTTACTTGAAACTGTGTACTCCTTTTAAAGGTTCCAACATATACCTGTGTTACTTGAATAACATTCTTGCATTTCACCACTAGACACCACTAAATGAGTTGAATCTCAAGACGTTAATCTTGCTCATCAAAAGTTTTATGTATTACCTTACGGTCCATTGTTTGAAGCTTAGCCGAAGATTGTCGAAAGTTCACGTCACCTGTATACTTTGGGTACTTGAAAATTGACACTCCGAGTTAGTCTTCGCAAATTACCAAACCTAACGGAAATCTCGTGGCACTCAGTAATCGGCAGAGATTCTCGTGACTTGCGTTATTTTGATGGCTGTCATTATTTTAGAAGGTGTTAATGAAGAATGGGTGTTTGTCTTAACATTGACAGCGATTTTGTCAGTCTTGTACTTAGTTATTTAATTACGGTTACCGTTCTTGTTATGATAAGTGAAATACAGTTTAACAAACAAATACATGGTAATTATAACCAGGGGTGACGTTGACATTACGCCGTTGAGGGCGCCATTAACATATAACTCCCCGTTTTATTTCATTTGCACGCTACTCTGTGTTTCATATAGTGGATGACTAGGGACACTTTCAATAACGGTTTAAAATTAATAATGGGAGTAAAATTCGGTAAAATTGAAGCTGTTAAAAATTAGCAAACGTTAAAGCGGAAGGGTTGTCACCTGCGCACGCGCGGGAATTGAGTCAAGCGACAATAACAACACACACTAAACACGCCAAGATCTCATGGGTAGACGCTTGTTGAAACAATGACACGCTATGGCCATCTGACGCATGCGCAGGTGACGACTTTCCCCTCTTTAAATTATTCCCAAATTGAATGCACTATTAGTACTAAATAACATGCCGTAAGAAAACACTGATAAGAATTTTATTTTATTTTCATCACTAAGAGACAAGTGTGGGAAATGAGTACTTCATTTAAAGGGCGGCAGTCGTGGTGCGGCGTCCTGTTCGATATGGGACTCATAGCGACGTATACAACGCGTGTAAAATACACTATTGTTTATTTACATGAAATTCGAACAAGCACTGCACGACGACCACCGCGCTTTAAGATTAAGGATTAATCATGTGTCCAAAAGTCAGTCATTAATTAATGCCCTTATAATATATATATACTACAAACCAAATTCCAGACCATGTAGTTAATATTTAAAAAAAAGAAATTACGCTTTTTACAGTCAGTAAATTTGTTATATGGCGCGAAACGCACGTGATATGGTACATTTTTACCAGTACATATCAAAGATGCAACAAACAGTTTCACTGTTGAACCATGTTGCTATGGAAATTTCAATGGCTACTAGAGAACAGATTATGACGATTTAGCACCTAGAAAATTCAATTTAGTTACATTTTCTATTCCATCCCAAACTCATTTTCAAGCATTCGGGTGTACGAAACGCAATAATTTTAGTTTTGTTCAGATTCATTTCAAGTCACTTATTTTAGTAATCACGTAATTCATTCCGGAGATTTCGCAGACCAATTTGATTTCTATTGAATAAAGTCAAATCGTCTGCATATAATAAATGAATTATTCTTAATATACCGTAATATGCTACTAGTGTCTGACCATAATGTTATGTTGTTGTTATGTTGCCTGGTTGTCAAGTATAAATTAGCTTTGACTCATGTTGTACAGTATAATTAGTAATTGCTATGCTATGTATATTTCAGCTCCTCACTCCTCTACTGTATGTTCTTCTTCATCACTAATTTGTCGACTGTAGGCACGCAAAGTCAGATAACAGACGGTGTATAACGTTTATAACCCCCCCCCCCATATGACGTCATGAATGTTATATAATTACACACCCTTATTCTCATTACTGCGAAAAAATGACTAATTATACAAATTAAGTAATTTATATGCATGGATATTAACCCAAAACTTATCAGGTCTGTGGATTGTCCAATGACATCTTCGTACCAATTTTTAATGTAATGAAATAAATTGACTAATCATTATGCAAGTTAAGTAATAAATATGCACGGATTTTTACTCAAAACTAATCAGATCTGCACATTGTCCAGAGCATCTATGTACATGTACCAATTTTCATCAAGTTTATATGTCATTGGAACAGTCATGAACAGCTAAAAATTAGCTAATTATCATGCAAATTAGATAATAATATGCATGGATTTAACCCAAAACTTAATCATATCATAGAGATAAAAAAATATATCTACGCATTAGTCCAGAGCATCTATGCATCAAATTTCATCAAAAACCAATGAGATATCAGTAGAACAGGTACACATACAGCCGCACTATTTAACTACAAAGACTCCTATTTCTGTGCTTCACACATGATGGGAGTAACAAAATACCAAAATTGAGGTAGTGTACTGTAACCTGCTGTAGACCATGACGCAATATTGACATTTTTCAATATCAAAGGCAATATTCATATTTCATATCACTCAGTGGCCATTCCAGACTAATTTGTCTCCCAATCATCGCTTTCGAGATCCTCGCAACAATAATAATTTTATTCAACACAAAAAACATATTACAGAAGTTGTTTTTATGGTTGTATAAACAAAAGAAAAACAAAATTAAGAACAAATAAAAACAAGATTAAACTAAAAACTATGTACAGACAAAAAACAAGAGGATACCAGTACGTATGATTTGCCGCTGCTACATCCAATCAATGTAGATTCTAGGCTTAGGACAATGCAATGGCTGCCATGGGAGACAAAGCGAAATGAGTCATTATGTTTATGTATATTAAAGGGCGGTGGTGACGTAGCGCGTGTTTGAATTTCATGTAAATAAACAATGTATTTTACACGTCGCTATGAGTCCCACATCGAACGGGACGTGGCGCGATGACCGCCGCCCTTTAAGTTAGAGCCATTCCAATTCCAATTCGCACCTGTTTTACAGCCAGATGAGACAACCATAGTATGTTGTTCGCAAGCAAAGCAAAAATCATAGAAAATCAATTTTAATGTAGGAGATGCCATATAATTTCTGACCTGGCTTGATGCTTTTAAGACAACGGTCTTCTTCTTTCTTTCTTTGATGGTGACAGTAAAACGCCAGTGTTAAATTGAGTTGTATATCCAAGTGTAAATAGGACACATATTTACCCCTCCATACTGCTGAAGTGGGAGCCAGTAACAACTGTGGGGTGGTACTTAACCCTGAAGAAGTGATTTCTCCACAAAGTGACTTATTGGGCTCGAAAGATGGCTAGGTTGTAAGCAAAGGTACGATAAAACAGGACGAGTGTGGCTTGTAAAGAGGTAGCTGCGGTTCCGTAGCTCTTTGGTGCGACCTACAATCGAATTTCGCCCTAACAATTTCATTTGGACGTCTTTTTTTTTAATTTTGTAGTTGTACGTCGAACATAGACGTATGGGCCGGCCAGAGTCAGTCACGTAAATAATGCGGTCGGCAACATAGGGCTATGATTCCACAGCTAGTAAAGAGGTTGCTTAAGTGATGCCAACACTAAAGGCACACAGTCAACGATCTCAGAAGAGCAGTAGTGTGGGTGTGTGTGTATGTGTGTGTGTGTGTTAACCCCTTGATAAATGCTCCAGTAAGGTGCATATAGCAGATTTGTTATTTCTGAATGTAGTTGGTTACATGGTAGAGAAAGTCTGCTAACTGTGGCAAAGGCTTAATTGAAAGTATCTGACACCAAATTCAGTAATACCCCAGTAACTCTGGTATAAATGAACTAAGTTTTGTTGGTAGGACTGGAGCATAGTACTTGTCAGGTTCGCTGAAAAGCACTGTGCTGAATTGAGTATGAAAATAAAACAGCTCCGACATCGCAGACACGCTGTGATAATCAGTAACACTATGTAGGGAGGTATAGTCCTTGATTGGTTTCCTAGTAGCCACCACAAAAGACCTGACTCAGCAAGAACGGTGCTATCAGTATTATGATGTAATGTTCAACAAAAACAGTAGTATCAGTGAAAATAGAGGGAAAGAGCTGAAAAGAAAATGTCCCAAGTGTCATAGATTGGCAAAGGGAGTGTAACACTGTCTTCTTGGTTTTCACAAGTAGTCTGTGATTGCA